TGGAAAATTCAGATTCAGGAAGGTATGGGAAAAGCACGGGTTTTGGAAATAGAGTTGCGGATGAGTGGAATAAACTCCGGTACAGTTATTGAGGCTAAAACGTTGTGTAGTTTTAAAAATAGGTTAGATAAATACAGAGTGGGTGTGAGTTGGGACCTGATATTTTTGTGCGCGGGGGTCTGGTACAGGGGCCCCATTTGAGGGGGGATAAAAGGAGGGGGGGGTCATTGGGATAACCGGGGGGGGGTGGGTCATTGGTCTAACTGGGGGGGGGGAACAGGGCCTTTCCCCCACAGGGTCGTGGGGCCTGTTGCAGTGTTCCTTCTTTCTAATTTTCTTATGTTCTTAAAAGGACACAAAAATGGGCAAATCCCGATGCATAAAAATCATTGAGAGATAATTCTGTAAGTTTTCCATCAAATTTTATACTTTTGGTGCATTAGATGGAGAAAAGATTCCTATTTATCATAAAAAAAATTTTTTTTTTTTTAAATTAGGGGGACCCCGAGAACAAGTCGGGGGGGGGCCAGGGGACCTGAAATGGTTAAATGCATAAAATGCCACATAACAAGTTTACGTAATGTATATTAACCCCTTTTAGGGGGCCCTGCGGATCTAGGTTTACGTTTAGGGTCCAAACTGTAGATCTGTGCCAAAAAATTTTAGAGCGTCAAAATTTGCCGAGAAGGCTGGTAGGGCCCCAACATTCTTAGGTGCACATACAGAAAAAAACTGGAACCTGCATGGCATTGTGGGTGACGCCAAAATACTTGTTCATCGTCCTGGCGCAAGGAACCTCCCCTCTCCACTCACTCTCCAGGCGAATTCTGACTCTCCCCTTTCACAACTTTCAGTTCTAAGACTGATGGAAGTGAGCTGAAGAAGAATTCTATGGTTTTAACCAATGGGACCATTGTACATATGGTTTAAAAGGGACATTGGTGCCATGTCTTACAATGGTATATTGGGGGAAAAAGTGTCATAGGGACTTTGTACCAATGGTACATTGTACCATATAGTACAGGGGGACGGGGGCCCTAAAGGAAATAAGTCTGTCTGACTTTTTTGGGCTTCCTAGGTTTTTTTCCCAAACATATGCTGTAAGTATGTATTTTATGTAGCTTTTTTGTGATCCTAAATAAACTTACTTATGATGCCACATGCCCCTTGAGTAAGTTTATTCCCGGGGTACAGAAATACTATTCATGGATTATTTACATAGAGGGATTGTATAAAAAACCTAGGAAAACCCAAAAAAGTCAGGGTGACTTATTTTCCCGGGATCCTTTTATCTTTTACATGTGGTGTCCTGTACTTATGGTTCCCCCGTGCCTAGGTACCCTGTGCCATTGGGACCCTGTGCCATTGGTCCCTGCCCATATGTTTTCTTGTACTGCATGGTACCCCATACCATATAGTACAATGTACCAATTACCCTGTAAAAAAATGTACCATGTACCATATGGTAATAGAGTTGGTGGCAAGCACCAGCCCAAACTGAGTGAGTGGCCCCCTCAAACAGCTACTGACTCAGCAGTTTCCAAAAAAAAACTCTCTGTCACCACCCAAAAAAATATCGAGTTCCCGTCATTTTTAAAATATACAATAGAACTTCTAAAATAATTTTTGCATATTTTTGTTGTAAAAAAAATAATGATGAAAAAAAATTTGTGTGTTTATTGTGCTGAATCAAAAATACCATATAGTACCTATGGTACAATGAACCATTGGTACATTGTACTGTATAGTACAATGTACCATATGGGGCCCTTGCACCATATGGTACATTGCACCATATGGTAAACCCAAGGTACCATTGCACCATATGGTCCATTGTTCAATTTTACCATTTTATCATATGGACCATTGTACCCAAAGGGGCCATTGTCCATATTCTACCTTTGGACCCCTTGTATCATGTGCAGTACCTTTTTGTACCATTGACCATATGGTACAATTTACTATATGGGACCATTGCACCCCATGGCACCATTGTACCCTATGGACTTATGGTACCTTGATTCAATACAATAATGCACTAATATTTTTATATTTTGTTTACAATAAACTTGTAAACAAGTTTTGTAAGAATAAATGAAAACAAAATTTGTGCATTATTGTGTTGAATACAATGAGTGTACAAATTTTACAATATATTTTATTGGGCTAAAAAGGAACAAATGTTACTGAAAAAAAAAAAAAATAGAAAAGAAAAAAAAATAAAAAACATAAATAAAAATATGCGATTTTGTGGAAATCACTGATGTTGCCGCCCCCGGTCATTTTTTGGTCAATTCCCACCGCTGTATCTCGGCAAGTATGTCGAAAAAATTCTTTTTTTTTTTTTATTACCTTCACAAAAATATTATCTTTAATTCTGTAAGTTTTTTTTTTTTTTTTTTTTAAAATTTCTTGGACACTGAGGGGACCCCTTCAGATTTTTGCCTTGGACCTGAAAGAGTTAAGTAGCAATAAACAGGGGATTAAAACTATAAAAAGTAAAAAACAACACAACACTCACTATTACCTAAAATATTTGTAGTCTTAATGTGGTGAGGTGAGGGAGTATTTATTTGTAGGGAAATCAGGTGTGGAAGGGATTGTAGCAAAACCAGGCCAGGCCCCCCCCTCAATTAATAATACAAAATTTAAAAACTCCTTTTAGGGAACAAAATGCAAACGTAACCCATTACTTTCCCTTTAAAAAATTTGTATCTTAACCCTTTAGGGCCATCCCCCTAGTTCTATGGGTTTGAAGCCAGGTCAAGCTGTAGTACTACATTTAAGCTCAGCTGTGAAAATGCTGTGAGCAGTAAAATTTGGGCTTAGATATGAAAGCTGATCTACGTTAAGTGTGCACCATATAAAACAAATCCCGCAGCACACAAATGCATAATGTGAAAAAAAAAAACTGTGAAACCCTGTTTTTGGATTAACCCCCCGATTTTGCGGGTTTTTTATATGTCTTTTATGGCACATTCGAAATTGAGCTCAAAGTAGCAGAAAAGTTCAATTTTTGCTGTGTTCAAGAGTAAAAAAATCACATCATGCGTCCATTACATGTCAGCTGATGAGTTGATGTGCATTACGAATGTGCTGTACTATTTATACAATTATTTCAATATTTCATAACAATAAAATTTTATTTTTTGGGTGAATAAAAATTCTGTTAAAAAAAAACAAAAATGGAATTCAATGTAAAGCCCGGAAAAGTAATAATAAAAAGAGGAAAATTTTTTTTTTAGTGCCAGGAAAACTTCCTTGTTTATTTTTCGCCTATTTTGAAATTGGAATATTTTGAACTTTGTGGAAATTGGCCAAATAACGAAATTCCGATCACTTTATTGGGTAGTTGAAATAGTTGACTGGGCAATTGCTTGTGCTCAGTAAATAAAATGGAATAAATGATACTGAAATAGCTAATAATTTGGTCTAATGGAACAACGTAATTGGCTGAAAATAGGACTCAAAGCAGGCAAAATCGCTGATGCGTAAATATCGCTGACACAGCAGAATTTGAGAGAGCATAATTTTGTTAATTTTTGATCAAATTTTGTACTTTTTGTTTTATTACCTTCAGAAAAAGACTTTCAGATATTTCTTAAGGAAAAATAATAGTGATACCTTGACTTACGAGTTTAATTCGTTCCGTGACAGAGCTCGTAACTCAATATGCTCGTATATCAAATAAATTTTCCCCATTGAAATTAATTGAAATTTCATTAATCCATTCCAATCCCCAAGAAACTACCCCAGTTTTTATGTTACAGGTTTCTAAATAAGAAAAATGTATTTATAAATAAGAAGTATTGTATACTCCACCCACCACCATCTCTACTACACCCACCACCATATCTACTCCACCCACCATTATCACTATTCCACTGACCACCATGACTACTACTCCCACCACTATCAGTACTCCACCCACATAAATTAATGTTTCTGGAAAATCTCTGGGTGTTGTACTGGAGATACCTCTTCCCCGGATTGCCTTGTTGTAGAATGGATTGCAGTCACATCAACCAACTAAGTTGAAGTTGGCACTAAAGCTTAAGCTCAGCTCATGAAATTATGATTAGGTAATAAATTAATTCAGTAAATACAAGTGTATGGAATTGTCACCATGACTTGATACAGAAACCTGTTGGTAATTGTTTGTTTTTAGAAATCTAAAGAGGGGTAAAAATTGTTTTTTTAAATGAAACAACAGGTGAGAAATTGTGCGTTGTAGTATTCAAAATTATATCAGTTTATTTTTCTTTTTTTTTTTTTTTTTCTTTTTCTGAATGAACATTAAAATGGTATAAAATACCGACAGATTGTTAGGTAAGACACATATGCAACAGTCAGGTATCTTTATTTCGAAACGTTTCGCCTACACAGTAGGCTTCTTCAGTCGAGTACAGAAAAGTTGATAGAAGCAGAAGATACTTGAAGACGATGTAATCAGTCCATCACCCTTAAAGTTTTGAGGTGGTCAGTCCCTCAGTCTGGAGAAGAGCATTGTTCCGTTGTCTGAAACAATATGTTTCAGACAACGGAACAATGCTCTTCTCCAGACTGAGGGACTGACCACCTCAAAACTTTAAGGGTGATGGACTGATTACATCGTCTTCAAGTATCTTCTGCTTCTATCAACTTTTCTGTACTCGACTGAAGAAGCCTACTGTGTAGGCGAAACGTTTCGAAATAAAGATACCTGACTGTTGCATATGTGTTTTTCTTTTTCTGTAAGCTCCAGTTCCTTGAGTGTGTTCCTTCCTGCATTACACTTTACCTAGGGTCAATTACATCTGAGCACCTATCATAAATAATACATATTTACATAAGATGATTCCTAAGTAGATTATATTACAAGTTGTAATATATATTTAAGATTAGCACATAAGAGTTTATTTTCATTTGTGTAATAATAGATATTTTGGGGGGAACTGTGACAAATTCTCATGTATAATATATAATAAATAACATGCTGTATTTCTCTCCACTCAAACCAGAGGGGCTCTAGAGAAATTTCAAGAGCAGATTGCCAGTGGTCTTTCTTCATCCCTGACTAAGGAGAATAAGAGTCTGATTGCTGCTGAAGAAATTCTAGGAGAACTCAAATATGCTTTGGAAAACATTAAAACCATTGTATCAGACTCGGAAAGAGATAGCAAAGTTGTCAGTAAGTATTGTGATCTATTAACACAGCAGCAGATAGTTATGTTCTATTATGGGCAGAGCAAGAGGGTGACTGAAGGAAGGAGGGACTTGCAATATTTTGTGTGTCACGTACAGAGAGTTGAGAGATGATCCCACCTGCTACAGTGTACAGTTACTAAAATACATTAATCTTTTTTTTTCTGCCCCTTTCTCTTTTGTCCTTGCTCTGCAGTGTATGGTACATATATTACTATTGTACTTATTTGTAGTTAAAGTGGAAAATTGTGCTCAGTACTGTGCAATTTTTAACATCTAGTTATCATATAAATTTTTAATAATTTTCCTTGGCTACAACACATACTACCTCTTGGCTCCTGGTATTATGCCATTGTTTGTGAACAAAAACATGTTTGTATTCTTTGGTACTGCTGTTTACTCAGTTTTCAGTTGAGGCTTCTGGATCTTCCTGTTCGTGTTACACAGCCTCTCAAAGTAGATCGCTAATTACAGTATCTGGTATGTTGACAGTACTGCAGCAAGCCTACAGGCATGGACCAGTAGCCTTGATACAGCACTCCTGAATTCTTGCCTTCTTGTTTCTACTAGTGGTCCTCGCCTCCTGCAACATCTTCAAGATCTTGCACCCTCACCTTCAGCAGTATTTAATACTCCATTCTTGTGCCTCAGCTTCATTTTGTTCCAGACTATGGAGCTGGGAGATTGACCACCTCCAACTATTTCTCCAAAGTTGATGGACTGATAACTTCCCCTCTACTGCTGCCTACAATCCATTCTCCTCGGTATTTGACTGAAGAAGCCTACCGTGTAGGCAAAATGTTTCAGCAATAAGAGATACCCAACTGTTGCGTGTGTCATATTCATCAACAGTATCTGGTGCACTCAGGGATGGAGAGGGGGAAAATGTGCCACATTTTTGGCAACATTGTATAATCACTTAATTTTTTATAGTCCTATGCATTTTGCACATTGTTTTCACATTATATTTTCATGCTGAATTAAACAAGACTGGTAGTTGATGTTGGAAGCTGAATAACCAATTTGTGGAGAAGTGGTTATCTGCATAGTATTTGTTTCTGTTTTGTTTGAATACCTGGTAATTCTATGGATTAGTATTTTTCCTATATTGATTCTAAGTTCTTTTTCTTTTTTTTTTTTATCTTTCTAGCCCCTGTTAAACCATTCATTATTTTGTCTTATTTTCTAAGAATTAATGGGATGTCTAAATGTGCGTGGATGTTGTCCAAATGATAAGAAAGAGATGATTGTGGATGTTATGAATGAGAAGAAGCTGGATGTATTGGCTTTAAGTGAAACAGAGCTGAAGGGGGTGGGAGAGTTTCAAAGGAGAGAAGTAAATGGGATTAGGTCAGGGGTTTCAAACAGAGTTAGAGCTAAAGGAGGAGTAGCAATAATGTTGAATAAGCTATGGCAGGAAAAGAGGGAGTATTTTTTTTTTTTTTTTTTTTAACAAGTCGGCCGTCTCCACCGAGGCAGGGTGACTCAAAAAAAGAAAGAAAATCCCCAAAAAGAAAATACTTTCATAATCATTCAACACTTTCACCTCACTCACACATAATCACTGTTTTTGCAGAGGTGCTCAGAGCACAACAGTTTAGAAGCATATACCTATAAAGATACACAACATATCCCTCCTAACTGCTAATATCTCTTTAGAGTTCAGGCATTGTACTTCCCATTTCCATTTCCCATTTCCATTTCTAATTACAGCAGGGCCCCACTTATACGGCAGGTTAGGTTCCAGGCTACCGCCGTAAAGCGGAAACCGCCGTAAAGTGGAACACCCTTTTTTTCCACTTATAAATGCATACAAACACTAGATAACAAGTTTACACTAACATATATTAAGTTAGCAATAGAACCAGGCATCAAAAAACAATAAAAAAGTACAATACACACATAGTGCACTCATTACTTACCTTAAAATATTTATAGTCTTAATCTAGGGTGAGACAAGTAGTATTTATTGTAAGAAATAAAGTGTGGTATGTATGGTAATCAGCAGGGCTACCATACCAGGCCAACCCACCCACACATATATTCTACAATATTTAAGCATCCCAGAGCGATAAAATGTATATACAGTTCACTCATTACTTACCTTAAAATATTTATAGTCGTAATGTAGGGTCAGGAGTAAGTAAATGAGATAAAACGAATAAATGAGAGAGAGAAAGAATGAGTACATGAGAGGGGACAGGCGCAGAGTTATGTAAACAAACCAGGCGTATGTAAGTTTTGTAAACAAACAGTGTACACGTCTGGTTTGTGTACAAGTTACATTGTGTACAGGTTGTCTCTACATTGATACGGTAGAATTAATAAAGAAGAACACTCCATTCTCATGTAACATCATTTTGAGAAGAATGATGCTCTGAGTGAAGGCAATGGAAATAAGTCACACTGACTTTTTTGGGTTATCCTGGTTTCTTACACATTTTTGTTATGTATGATAATCTATGTAACTATTTGTGTTACCTGAATAAACTTACTTAAATACATACGAAAGGAAAAATTTTTCTAGTTACCCCCAGTAACACGTTTTTTCTTATGTTAGATTAGAGAAATGTTATTCTTGCCGTCACTTGTACAAGTTTATCTGGCCCCACATCTTATATTTCTGTTTATTTATTTTTATTGTGGGGTGTATTTATCATCTTTTTATGTTATGTATCGTGTTTATTATATAATTTTGAAAAAAAATCATGGATGGATTAATGAAAATGTGTATATTAACGTAATATACGACATTTAATGGGGACTCGGTGAGTATGTTATTATTATTATTATCATTTCAATATGGCGTTCACTTGTGCAAGTCGTCTGTACCACATCTCACATTTATGTTTGTTTATTCTACTGGGGGTGTATTTATCTTATCTATATGTTATGCATCGTGTTTTTTATATAATTTGAAAAAAATATCATAGATGGATTAATGAAAATTTGTGTATATTAAGAAATATACGAATTTAAATGACTCGATGATTATTATTATCATTACTAATATGACGTCTGGAGACATAAGACACTTACTGATTTTAATGTGTACCTGCACGCCAGCACAGTATGTAAGTTTATTTAGGTACAGTTATACATAAGTATAATTATCAGAGTATATATAAAATATGAAATAACTTTTAAAAACATTTGAAATTTTGGAGTTTCCAGACAAAATGGAGAGTCTTAGTGCTTACTGAGCTCACGGAGAATGTAAACAAACAGGGTGGGGCACGGTGACTGTATTAGAAAGTCAGGTGGGGGGACCCGTATAGCGAGTTTTGGTCATAATTTGAAATGACCGTATTAGCGGAACGCCGTAAAGCGGGGCCCTACTGTAATTAATGTACATAAAAGGCCTAAAATCTGGAATTCATTACCTGTGAATATAAAAGAAACATTTTTTTTTTATTATCACACTGGCCGATTCCCACCAAGGCAGGGTGGCCCGAAAAAGAAAAACTTTCACCATCATTCACTCCATCACTGTCTTGCCAGAAGGGTGCTTTACACTACAGTTTTTAAACTGCAACATTAACACCCCTCCTTCAGAGTGCAGGCACTGTACTTCCCATCTCCAGGACTCAAGTCCAGCCTCCCGGGTTTTCCCCTGAACCCTTCATAAATTTGTTACTTTGCTCACACTCCAACAGCACGTCAAGTATTAAAACCATTCGTCTCCATTCACTCCTATCAAACACCCCTCACGTACGCCTACTGGAAGCCCAAGCCCCGCACAAAAAACCTCCTTTCCCCCCTCCCTCTAACCTTTCCTAGGCCGCCCTCCCCCCCTTCCTTCCACTACGGGACTGATACACTTTTGAAGTCATTCTGTTTTCTCCTTCTCTCTACATGTTAAACCCACTCAAAAAACCTTCCTCAGCCCTTGGACAACAGTTTTGGTAATCCACACCTCCTCCTAACTTCCAAATACGAATTCTCTGCATTATATTCACACCACACATTGCCCTCAGACATGACATCTCCCTGCCTCCAGCCTTCTCCTCGCTGCAACATTATCCCCATGCTTCACACCCATATAAGAGCGTTGGTAAAACTATACTCTCATACATTCCCTCTGTGCCTCCAAGGACAAAGTTCTTTGTTCCACGACTCCTAAGTGCACCACTCACCCTTTTCCCCTCATAAATTTCTATGATTCACCTCATCCTTCATAGACCCATCGCTGACACGTCCACTCCCAAATATCTAAATACATTCGCTTCCTCCATACTCTCCCTCCAATTGATATCCAATCTTTCATCACCTAATTTTTTTGTTATCCTCAAAACCCCTTACCCTTTTCCTGTTTTCACTTTTATTTTCTTCTTTTGCACACCTACCAATTCATCCACCAATCTCTGCAATTTCTCTTCAAAAATCTCCCAAGAGCACAGTGTCATCAGCAAGAGCAACTGTGACAACTCCCACTTTATGTGTGATTCTTTATCTTTAACTCCACGCCTCTTGCCAAGACCCTCGCATTTACTTCTCTTAAAAACCCCATCTATAAATATATTAAACAACCACGGTGACATCACACATCCTTGTCTAAGGCCTACTTTTACGGGGAAATAATTTCCCTCTTTCCACATACTCTAACTTGAGCCTCACTATCCTTTTAAAAAAACTCTTCACTGCTTTCAGAAAACCTACACCATACACCTGCAACATCTCCCAACATTGCCCCCCTATCCCACTCTGTCATATGCCTTTTCCAAATCCATAAATGCCACAAAGACCTCTTTAGACTTACCTAAATATGTTCACTTATATGTGCCCACTGTAAACACCTGGCCCACAAAAACCCCCTACCTTTCCTAAAGCCTCCTTGTTCATCTGCTATCCTATTCTCCGTCTTACTTTTAAATTCTTTCAATAATAACTCTACCATACACTTTACCAGGTATATCAACAGACTTTTTTTTTTTTTTTTTCAACAAGTCGGTCGTTCTCCCACCGAGGCAGGGTGCCCCAAAAAAGAAAGAAATCCCCAAAAAGAAAATACTTTCATCATCATTCAACCTTTCACCACACTCACACATTATCACTGTTTTTGCAGAGGTGCCCAGAATACAAAAGTTTAGAAGCATATACGTATAAAGATACACAACATATCCCTCCAA